AACTAGCCAAGGCGCTTCCCGCCCCGCTCGGTCAGGTCAGCCTTGCAGCCCAGTTGTCCAGTCTAATCGTTCAGATCGCTCATGCCATTCGGCCAGCTCTCTCATGTCATTATCCCACAGCCAATTGACTGCAAAGGATCGTAAGGCATCGGGTGTTGGCGCTGCTCGGCAGACAGACACGCATACACTATTTAAATTATTTGAATTATTTCCGCCGAGGCGATATTCAAATAATTTAAATAATTCAAATCGTGATGGTTGATCAGCTTGCTGGGCTGCCTTCCAGCATATTTAAATAATTTAAATAATTTAAATAGTTCAAATAATTTAAATCGCTGCGGCTGGTTTAAATTATTTGAATCATTTAAATTATTTAAATTATTTAAATTATCTAAATATGCTGGCAGCCTGCTCGGCAGATAGACACGCATACACTATTTAAACTATTTGAATTATTTCCGCCGAGGCGATATTCAAATAATTTAAATAATTCAAATCGTGATGGTCGGTCAGCTTGCTGGGCTGCCTCCCAGCATATTTAAATAATTTAAATAATTTAAATAGTTCAAATAATTTAAATCGCTGCGGCTGATTTAAATTATTTAAATTATTTAAATTATTTAAATTATTTAAATTATTTAAATATACTGACAGGCGGCTCGGCAATCAGACGCACCTACACTATTTAAATTATTCTAATAATTTCTATCGAGCGATATTCAAATAATTTAAATAATTCAAATTGTGAGGGCCTGTCAGCCTGCTGAGCCGTATCCCAGCATATTTAAATAATTAAAATAATTTAAATAATTTAAATAATTTAAATAATTTAAATCGCTGCGGCTGGTTTAAATTATTTGAATCATTTGAATTATTTAAATTATTTAAATTATTTAAATAATTTAAATAATTCAAATAATTAAAATAATTCAAATAATTTAAACCATCCAGCGCGATTTGAATTATTTAAACTATTTAAATTATTTAAATTATTTAAATTATTTAAATATGCTGGCAGGCGGCTCGGCTGACAGACACGCCTACGCTATTTAAATTATTTAAACTATTTCCGCCGATGCGATATTCAAATAATTATAATTATTCAGATCCTGAGGGTCTGTCAGCCTGCTGAGCCGCGTCCCAGCATATTTGAATAATTTAAATAATTCAAATAATTTAAATAATTTAAATAATTTAAACCATCCAGCGCGATTTGAATTATTTAAATTATTTAAATCATTTAAATTATTTAAATTATTTAAATATGCTGGCAGGCGGCTCGGCTGACAGACACGTCTACGCTATTTAAATTATTTAAATTATTTCCGCTGGTGCGACGTTCAGATAATTTAAATATTTCAAATCGTGATGGTCGGTCAGCTTGCTGGGCCGCGTCCCAGCATATTTAAATAATTCAAATATTTCAAATAATTTAAATAATTTAAATAGTTCAAATTATCTCGCGCGATTTAAATAGTATATTATTTAAATTATTTAAATTATTTAAATTATTTACATTATTTAAATTATTTAAATATGCTGCAGGCGACTCGGCTGACAGACACGCCTATTGTATTTAAATTATTTAAATTATTTTCGACGAGGCGATATTCAAATAATTGAATTAATTCAAATCGTGGTGGTCAGTCAGCTTGCTGGGCCGCCTCCCAGCATATTTAAATAATTTAAATAATTCAACTAATTTAAATAATTTAAATAATTTAAATCATCACGCGCGATTTAAATTATTTAAATTATTTAAATTATTTAAATTATTTAAATATGCTGGCAGGTGGCTCGGCTGACAGACACGCCTACGCTATTCAAATTATTCAAATTATTTGCTGAAGCAGAGTCCAAGGGACGCATAGAGCCTATTTCTCCCTCAATCATATATATATATATGTATGTTTATCATTCTCTCTCTCTCTCTCTCCTGCTATCTCTCTTTCTGTGTATATGTATACCTATATATGTACATACACACAAATGTTAGTTATTTCCCTCTCTCTCCCGCCCTCCCCCGCTTGCCTCAGACCTTGCACCGCGCGAGCTTGGCTGAACAGCGCCATCTTTGGACGCGCCTGGGCCGCCCAGGGCCCCCGCCCACCGACGAACCCCCCCTCCCCATTGTTTTTGTTCCAAAATCATTGCAAGCTGCCCGTGCGACCTCCCTTCCGCAAGAAACCCCGACAACGTCGAATCTGAGCATTTGGACCCCTCATGCAGTTTCCCAGTCGCGTTCGGCTTCCCGGATTCGCCAACGCCACCGATCGTTGAAAGCCTCGCGCCCCGTTCCCCCCTCCAACCAGCGGGACCCTTCGTTCCTTCGGACGCGGGGGCCTCGCGAGACCACCACAATCCTCCGACGGCGCCTCCCGACTTCATTTGTCGATGCACACACCCCGCCCCCTGCAGGCCACGACCCCCCCCCCGCCCACTCAGAGCGCTTCTCCAACCAAGGATCTTGCTATATACAACTAGGGTAGCATGCGACATCCCGAACATGTAGATAGTCTGCTAGAGACCGCAAGTCCATGCTGTCGAAGTGCCTTGCGCATAAGCCCTAGTGCTAGGGCCAAGGGCCCCAGGTGATCAAAGGACTAGGGCCCCTAGGGCTCTGGGGCATATGGGCCGCTCGGGCATATCAACAATTCTGTCCATCAGCATTGTCCACGGGGGTGGTCCATCGCCCAGGCGTGAGCCTCCCTGTTTCTCCCCCTTTCTCCTCCATCGTCACCGTCCGACTGGTAATCCTGCTGCGATGCTGTTGGTGTTGATATTTGTTTCGTTGCTGGTGGCCCCTTTGTCCTCGTGCTGCCGCTGTTGACCGTGCTCCTGCTGCGAGGGCCCAGGACCAATGGTTTGTTTACCAGCATTGCGCTGCATGCCCCCAGTTTTCCAATGTTCAAAATGTTTTACCGCAGTGTTCAACCCTTTCTCCAACAAGTGTATTCATCCCAGTTGTGGCTTCAAGAACCAGAAGGCGCAGGTCAGTGTTAACGACAACGGCACAGATATCGCCAGAGCGAAAGTCAAGGCAGAGCAGAATCAACAGGTACGGTTCAACGCGCAGCCCATTCTGTTGGGCGGCGAAAGTGACTCCAAAGAGACCTTGAAATGAACGTTGAAGTAACAGTTGAAGCTAACATACTGCACGCAAGCAGTTGAAGCCAAAGAACGTATCCACAAACAAGGTCAAACCATAACGTAGATATGTTAACCAGCGTAGACCGCTAACAGTACGTTCTTGCACCGCGGAGGTGACAGGTACGCCGTGTGATTTAGGTGGTGAAAGCTTTGCGGTGTACGCTACGTGGTGTGAGCGGTGGAGGTGGAAAGTATGGAATTTGAGGTATGTGGTGTAAGTTGTGTCGTGTAAGCTAGGCAGTGTAAGTTGGAGGTGGAAGCGATGGAGCGTCAGCTGTGTGGTAAATGCGGTGCAATATATGTTATGTAAGCTATGTGGTGTAAACGTTATGTTGTGAGCTACGGGGGTGGAAACTATGCGGTGAAAGTTGTGCGGTGCAAGTTGTGTCGTGTAAGCTATACGGTGCAAGCCATGCGGTGTAAGCGGCAAGCGGTGTGGTCAAGCGTTTGTGGCGTGAGCTATGTGGAGCCAGCTATGGAGCTGAAAGCTATGCGGTGTAAGTGCAACCTGTGTCGTGCAAGCCAGGCTGTGTGAAGTGGAGGCGCGAACCATGGAGCGTCGGCTGCGTGAACAAGCTACGGCGTGTGACCGATGCGACGCAAAAGCTATGCGAAGCTCAGAGCACGGGGTGCCCACGAGGCGCCCACCGGGGCGGCACGGGCGGGAGCGCGGCGCGACTTTTTTGGGAATCCCACCCAGCGTGCGTGGCGCCCACGAGGCGCCCACGACGCGGCACGGGCGGCAGCGTGGCGCAGCCTCGGCATGCCCCCCAAAGGGCGGGGGGCACCCGCGAAGCAGCACGGGCGGCGGCGTGGCGGAGCCTCGGCACACTCCCCCAGGCGCGGGGCGCCCACGAGGCGGAACGGGCGACAGCGTGGCGCGAAATACCGGAATACACCTTAGGCGATGCTTAAGAAAACTTAAGTCTTCGGCCAGAGTCTCGATTATTCTTAACGTTTCAATGTAAATCTTAAGATTTTGATAGGCAATCTAGGTTTTTATTCAAACTCTGAGACTATGAATTTCTTAACCCATGATTTCTAAAGCATTTCGCAGGGTGTAGCCGTGCAGGAACAAAACCAAGGAATAATTGTTGCATGAAAATGTTGTTTGGAGAATGGCGTATACAAGGGATGTTTTAGCCAGTTCAAGAGACGTCCAACGCCATTGAAATTGCAGCTGACGCGAAGTCGGCACGTGCTTCCGCAGTTCTCAACGAAAGGCAAGTCCAAGCCCAGGCTTACACGTTTGACAAATTCTCGCTAGGAACAGATGGGATTTGAAGCAAGGGGAACGACTAATTGAGGGCGAAAGCTAACGCTAAGCTTGAGTCTGAAGCCAGGCTTCATGTTGAAGGCATGTCGAAGTCGAAGCCCAAGTCAACGCTAGAACATAAACCAAACCCAAAGCCGAATAAAACACAAGTGTGTTGACAACACCATGCTGAAAAAGCTGACGACATTTATATGTTATAAACTCCGAGTGTAAAGCGCCACGCGAGACGCGATGTTTACTTTTGGTACATGTCCCAGTTCGTGTTCTTGGGATGCCACCTGTTCGCAGTCAGGCAAGATCGTTGATGAATCCGCAGAGTGACAAAGTGTTTGGATAGATGGCGTGTTGAAAGCGGACATTCTGGGAGGATTGTTTGATTGAGCGTCATTGCATGCATCCCGCGTTGGCGAGTGCAGCGTGTGAGGATAGGAGGTGTCATCATTTTACGCCAGTCTACGCGCGCGGATGGTTGAATACGCCTTGAAGAGGGAAAGGGAGAATGCATTGGGAAAGTGTTCAGTCTGTAAAGTAGCATGATTATGGGGACAACAGAATCTGAGACGGCGAAGGGCAGGCTCGGGCCCGCTTTGAGCGGATCCGCCCGACTTATCTCGTTGCGTGGGCACCTGATGGTAAACCCGTTTAGCGGTGTTCGGGCGCGAACAAATCAAAGTGCCGTTCGTCGTCAGATTGCACATCTGCTTGCGAATTGCGGGTTCATTATCGGTGTGTTACGTTTGCCATGGTCAGCCAATGTTGTTGTGAGACATTCACCATTCTGGCGGCTGTGCTTCTTCGTTCATTGTGGAGTTGCCTTCACGAAATTGAGTGGCTTTCGGCCCAACCGGCCACGACTCTAGGGTATGGACCAGGATCCTCGTAGATGCCCCGTGGGGTCTCTCAGGGAGCCTCTTAGGGGGTTACTGGGTACCTCGTACGGTCTCGGAGTCTGCCGTGGGGCTCAGGGTTCCACATGTAAGGTCACGATCCCCATCAGAAGGGGCCGTTTTGGGACCGAATGGGCGCCCTTTCAGACCTTGGACGCCTCTCGTTTTTTTTGGACGCCCCGGAAACTCAATAAGACCGAACAGAGGACAGAGAATGCTCCCATCATGCAATCAGCCAACGGGTACAGGCGTTTGGGGCCTCCTGGGCCGGCCCCCAGGGCCTCCAAGACGGCCCACGAGGGCTCCAGAGCAGGCTGTGTGACCACGGGCCACTTTGGAAGTGTGGAGTCCCAACCACGCTCCCGATGCCCCTGGGCAGGTCATGCGAGCCGCCCTGAGAGCGCCCGCCGTGAATTTGGGCTCTGGGCCCTCGAGGTTGCTTTTATCGGAAGAATCGCAGGGATTTGAGACCACCCCTTCAATGCCTACGGCCGATGGCGGCAGGTTGGCAGAACGACGCTGCGCTGGCTCCACCGAAATGACAGGAATTCGGGGCGTCGGTTCCAAAGAGCAGTGTTGGTGGGGATGCGCGAGCCAAGTTTGCTTTTTCATTCGCCATTTGGCCGTTTTAGCCCTTCTCGTGCCGTTCTTTGCCCAGCTGTCGTTTTGTCAGAGGCCACCTGGGGCTCGCAGGCTCGCCAGTTGGGTCTGGCATACTCTTGTTCCCGGAACTTCACGACCTGTTCATTGTTACTACTGGGACGTCTCCGCCTCGCACTCACCCGCCTGTTTGGTGTTCTCATACCTTCAGATAGTTTCTGTTCTGAAGACTCACTCATACTCAGATGCACTCACACTCAGACTCACTCGCACTCGTACCTACTCATACACCCATTCATGGCCACTGAGACTCATTCACACTCAGACCTCATTGTCAGACCCACTCGCAGTGAGACTCGCTCACACTTCGAACCTCGCACTCTTGTCTGTTGGTGGTCCAATGCTCACCGCGGTATAGCAGGCGTGGCATTTGGGCACCCAGAAGGGGAACCGCCAGGGGTGGGGACACCCCATGGCTCGCGTTCAGAGTGTTGTGATGTTTCAGGCGGTTCGCTTGTTTCGGCGCCTCGGACTCATCTCTTTCTGGTGGTCCAATGCTCACAGCGATAACCGAGTGCCCCCGAAAATAAAGCAGCCCCCATTGAGACTTGAGAGCTGGTTATCTTGAGCCAGGACAGACTCGGCCAGGGGAGATGGGCGGCGAGTCCGAACTTCACTATCGCTGGGGAAAATACCAATCGAAGTTGCGATCTTCTTGTATTGAGTAGCGTATCGTGCATCATGCATCTCAGTTTTAGTATTGAGTATTACTGCCATTCCGGCTATTACTGTTACTATGGCGACCACGATTACTACCATTCGTATTTCTACTACTTCTACTTCTACTACTACTACTACTACTACTACTACTACTACTACTACTACTACTAGTACTACTACTACTACTACTACTACTACTACTACTACTACTACTATTACTACTACTACTACTACTACTACTACTACTACTACTACTACTATTACTGCGACTAGTACTACTACTACTACTACTACTACTACTACTACTACTACTACTACTACTACTACTACTACTACTACTACTACTACTACTACTACTACTACTACGACTACTACTACTACTACTACTACTACTACTACTACGACTACTACTACTAACTACTACTACTACTACTACTACTACTACTACGACTACTACTACTACTACTACTACTACTACTACTATACTACTACTACGACTACTACTACTACTACTACTACTACGACTACCATTACGACTACTACTACCTCGTATAGTTCTACTTCTACTACTACTACTACTACTACTACTACTACTACTACTACTACTACTACTACTACTACTACTACTACTACTACTACTACTACTACTACTACTACTTACTACTGATACTACTACTACGACTACTACTACTACTACTACTACTACTACTACTACTACTACTACTACTACTACTACTACTACTACTACTACTACTACTACTACTACTACTACTACTACTACTACTACTACTACTACTACCACTACTACTACTACTACTACTACTACTACTACTACTAGTACTGCTACTACTACTACTACTACTACTACTACTACTACGATTACGGCGATCACTTACACCACGATTATTAGTATTACTAGTACTAGTAGTACGACTACTGCTACTACGGTTACTATTATTCCTACGACTACTACTACTACTGCTACGACTACGGCTACTACGACTACGGTGACGATTGTTCCCCACATCCAAAGTGGGGTTCTTGTTTTCTCTGGACACCCCGCGCAGGAACAGGAACACACACACACACACCCACTCACACTCACTCACACTCTCTCAGCATCAACCACATCAGCATCATCGATGATGCTCTCTCACATGCTTAGTCACTCACATACTCATCATCATCATCACTCGCACTCTCTCACACGCTCACGAACATCATCATCATCATCATCATCGGCATCGGCATCATCCTCATTCAAACATCATCATCGCCACCACCACCCACAATCAATCATCATCCTCTTCACCACTCATCTTCACCACCACTCATCATCCTCATCCTCATCATCGTTGAGTAAATTGTGAGGAAGTCTCAGGCGGGAGCCCCCTCCCTATGGGGCCCGCAGATCATGTTGGTAATCCGAGCGGGTCATCGGAACCCTGTAACTGTCGTCACTTTTGGGCTCCCCAGGCCTGAAAATGGAGGAAGTCTCAGGCGGGAGCCTCGTCTGTGAGTGAATTGGGAGGAAGTCTCAGGCGGGAACTCCCTCCCTATGGGGCCCGCAGATCATGTTGGTAATCCGAGCGGGTCATCGGAACCCTGTAACTGTCGTCACTTTTGGGTTCCTCAAGCCTGAATTTGGAGGAAGTCTCAGGCGGGAGCCTCGTCTGTGAGTGAATTCTGAGGAAGGCTCAGGCGGGAGCCCCCTCCCTATGGGGCCCGCAGATCATGTTGGTAATCCGAGCGGGTCATCGGAACCTTGTAACTGTCGTCACTTTTGGGCTCGTCAAGCCTGAATTTGGAGGAAGTCTCAGGCGGGAGCCTCGTCTCTGAGTGAATTGTGAGGAAGTCTCAGGCGGGAGCCCCCTCCCTATGGGGCCCGCAGATCATGTTGGTAATCCGAGCGGGTCATCGGAACCCTGTAACTGTCGTCACTTTTGGGCTCCTCAAGCCTGAATATGGAGGAAGTCTCAGGCGGGAGCCTCGTCTGTGAGTGAACTGCGAGGAAGTCTCAGGCGGGAGCCCCTCCCTATGGGGCCCGCAGATCATGTTGGTAATCCGAGCGGGTCATCCAAAACCTGTAACTGTCGTCAATGTTGGGTTCTCGCGCTGCCAGAACGCAGCTCCCAGGCCACATTTTGGACGCAACAAGGAAGTTTTTGGGCTCCTCAGGTCGCCGAGGTGCTGCGACAGGGCGCCGAAGGCGCCGACGACGACGGCCAGGCCGAGGCGCGGGCGCGGAGCTTGCTGATGTTCAGGCCCAGCGAAAGGGAGTTCACATGGCAGAGCTCGGGGGCGCACAGCGTGCGCCGCTCGGGGTTCACCCTGACGCACGCGTCCTACCTGACCTCCACGCTGTCGCAGGGCCAGACGCTGCGCAAGGGCGTCACCATCGACTGCGCGAGAGACGAGGACGCTGGCCGCACGGGCATGTCGGACGAGCAGTGGTGGCTGCACCTCTACGTCATGTTCTCCCGCGCCACGTGCATGCGGAACATGCTGATCCTGCGGCCGCCGCCGCGAGAGTTCCTGGAATGCGGGCCGCCGGCGTCCCTGCGGAAGGCGCTCCTGGAGTTCGACAAGAGAGCGGTTTTGTCCAGGGCGGAGGCGAAGCAGCTCGCGGCAGAGCTGGGCTTCGTGCTGCCTTCCGCCTGAGCGCGGCTGCGCCTCGCTCGAAGCCCGCGGGGTTGTCCCAACGGCTTGGTCTTGCGCGCCAGCGGCTCGCGGGGTTGTCCCGACAGCCTGGCCCGCGGGGTTGTCCCAACGGCTGCGCGACGTGACCAGTAGAGAACGCGCCTGTGCTGGCCGTGGCGGCGACGGCGCCGAGGAACATCGACATGCGCGCTCATGCAACAGGAAGGGGAGGAGGTGGCGGGGCGCGGAACAAACAGGGGGGCGAGGATGGGGACAACGTAAGGAGTGGAAGGGGGGCCCGCGCCAAGGCGAGAGGAAATATACGCAGAAGAGACAGCCAGGACGCCTCACCAACCACGAGGACGACGGTGATGGCTTTTTCCAGATTCGCCCAGAGGATTCTTATGTGGGGTTCTTCCGTCGGAGTAATTATTATTATCTATCTTAATTTGGCGATTCCTATTACTACCACTACCACTACTACTACTACTACTACTACTACTACTACTACTACTACTACTACTACTACTACTACTATTACTACTACTACCACTACGACTACTACTACTACTACTACTACTACTACTACTACTACTACTACTACTACTACTACTACTACTACTAATACTACTACTACTACTAGTACTACTACTACTACTACGACCATTACTACTACTACTACTACTACTACTACTACTACTACTACTACTACTACTACTACGAGTACTACTACTACTACTACTACTACTACTACTACTACTACTTCTCCTGATACTACTACTGCTACTACCACTACTACTACCACTACTACGACGACTACTACTACTACT